GGCACAGAGCCCGACGTGGGGCTGGAACTCACGGACTGTGAGATCATGGCCTGAGCCGAAGCCGGACGCTCAACCGACTGAGCCCCGCCCCCCAGGCGCCCCTAAGTACTGCTATTTGATGCTGCTGCTCTACAGATGACCTGTCACAGATCACAGAAATCTCGCGGGGCACCTTGTATCTCCAGTTACCCCGTGTGCCGGGCTTTCTCGGCCCCAGCTGGTCGCTCTGGGACTGCCGTCCGTGTGGCAAGCTGTGCAGCGGCTGACCTCCCGGTAGATACGTCCCTTTGTGACAACTTCAGGTGTCTGTAGACGTTGCCAGATGTCTCCCGGGGGCAAGACCGTCCCCGGTTGAGCAGCCCTGCCCTGTCCTCTTGTTATGGTTGCTGCTTTTCATTTATCGTCGCTGCTGCTGCTGAAACAGAATTTCAGCGTTAGATTTTCGGATGGTCAGTATTTTTATGTGGGAAAACGGGATTTTTGTACTTGCCACCCGGTTCCGGCACGGGCACGTGGGGCTTCTCTCGCCCGGGCTGGTGGGCGTCCGGCCTCACTCATCTCTGACGAGTGGCTCGTTCGCTGGGACACGGCTTCCAGTAGATTCTCGAGGTTCCACGCCCCCACCTTGGGTTCAATTCCTAGATCACGGCTCTAACACACAAGGATATGCTCTGGACAGGTGGGTGGGAGAGCGCGGAGGTGCGCTGGATCTCCACGCGGTCACCAACCCAAGAGCTCCCCGAACCCGGAACCACATCCTGCGGGGTTTTACGGAGGCTTCCTTACACAGGCCTGATTGGTTACGTCGTTGGCCTTTGGCCCCTGAACTCCACCCCCGGCCTGGCTCTCTCCCCAGGTCTGGGGACGGGGACGGAAAGTCCAGCTCCCCGACCCGCTCCCCAGGGAGCCAGCGCCCCTCCCTGGGACCCTTCTCCACGCCACTCACGACATAACGACGTAACGAGGACACGGTGGCTCCTGTCGCAGGAAATTCTAAGGGTTTCGGGAGCTCAGCTCCAGAAAGACCAAATGTGCCTTCTCATCATAAATCACAAAGTCGCACTTTTCTAAGTAACGATCCACGGAAGGTGGACTTTTGGCACTTTGCCTGCCTGCAAGTGTTTTCATTTGTCTCTTCCATGTGATGAGCAGTTTTGCAGAGTGGAAAACAAATTATAGGTTAGAAATAATGCTCCTTCCTAGTTTTGGAGGTATCGTGTGAAGGATTGCCTGGAGGCTTGTGCCCTCGGTGAGGGGTCACCGTGCGGATTCTTCTTCGCTCTCGGGGGTATTTTCTGTGTGGGCACTCGCAGAAGCTTCTCTTCGTCTTTGGTGTTTTAAAATTGTATCCTGTGAGCCCTGGTGCGGGTGTCCGGGCTCCCGTGTTCGGCTCTCCAGGGCCCCCGTGTTTTGGGTGAACGTCGTGTCCTTTCTGGGCGATTCCTGCTCTGTTTTCTCTGTTTTCTGTTTCTGAAATGCCTCTTGATCGGAGATCAGACTCTCCCGGACCAGCTTCTCTAATTGTCGTGACCTTTCTTTCCCACGTCCTGGAAGATTCCATCCGTCTACTTTCTATTCTCTAAGAGCTCTTTTTCATTTTCTCATCCTTCCTTACATCAAGCATCATTTCTCTTTGTTTTTTAATGTTTATTTTATTGTTGAGAGAGAACGAGAGAGGCAGAGTGCACGCGGGGGAGGGGCAGAGAGAGAGGGAGACACAGAACTGGAAGCAGGCTCCGGGCTTGAACACAGAGCCCGATGCGGGGCTCGAACTCACAAACCGGGAGATCACGACCTGAGCCGAAACCAAGAGTCGGACACTCAACTGCCTGGGCCCCCAGGCGCCCTGAGCCGTGAGTGTCTTGGACGTGAGTGTCAGGTTTTTGATTTCAGGAACATTTTCTAATTTCCCACCTTCAAAGGATTTCGTTCTCTCGCTCTTGTCCAGGAGCCTCCGCTGTGTGCGGGTCACGTGTCCCTGGATATCGTACGTGTCTTTCCTCTACTCTGCCCGTTTGTTTGTACTTCCTCTGGGGTTCATCCCCCTGAGTCCGCCCTGCGCAGGAGTCTGCTGGAGGCTCCGGTCTGGTGCTGCTCGGGGCTGCCCAGATCAGCACATCTTTCCGATTCCTTTCCCAGTTCACAAGCTCGCTTTTCATCTTTTTCCAGCATCCGATCATCTCTCGTTTGAGACTTTTTATGGGGTCGTGCTGTCTCTGAATTTACTGGGAGCGTGCCAGCTCTTGCCTGGGGTGGGGGGGGCGGGCGCGTGGGTCTCACTGTGACTCCTTCAGCCTCGCGCATTTCCTCGAGCCTGTGGAAGGGGCGGCGAGCCGGAGCGACCAGCTCGCATTTTGGCAACATTAAGGCCACCTGGGAGCTGTGCCAAAATGCAGACGATAAAACGATAAAACGGCCGGGTTACTGTGGCCCCGCCCTCGTAATGGACCCACGACAGGTTCAAAGTGCAGTTCCAGGCCTCTTAAGAAAGCAAAACAAACAAAAACCTGATGCTCGAGTGCAGAGACTTTAAGAACCTACTCGTTTTCATTGTGTTCTTAGACGGACCCCAGATCCAGGCACAGGGGTCGCAGGGGCTCTTGGTGCCCCCGAGGGGCGGAGAAGACTTGTGTTCAGCACGGCCAAGGATGGTTTCTGGGCGGGAGTGCGTGCTGGGATCTTTCCGGACGGCATTGGCTGAGAAGCAGGGGCGTCCAGCCGGAGAAAGGGGCAGGCTGTGCGAACAGTCAGGTGCGGGGCCCCGGGCCGGCCTGAGCCGAGCCTCGAGTGACTAGCTACGGCAGCAGCACGGGACTGTTACACGGCGTCTTTTGGCTCTCGGTGAACCTGCGAAACGCACCGGCCGGGTACAAGGTGAGGGCGGGCCTCGGGGCAGAGAGGAGGAGAGCGGAGGTGAGCACGCCTGTGCCCTGGCGGTCCTGCTCCGGGCTGGTGCTCGGTGCATCTTGCGGGGGGTGCAGGCGGAGGAAGAGACAGGCCTCGGCCGGCTCCTCCCTCTAAAGTTCATCATGACGCAGCGACACCCGTGGCGGCAAACCGTGAATGGTGGATCGCAGACTCACTGTGGGGCGGCGAGGCGGCTGGGAGGTCCTGTCCCCGGCCTTAGCGCGGGACAGAAGGCATCGCCCTCCAGCTTCCCAGCTTTGTGGTTTACTTAGGCAGCGACCACTGAGGTCACCGCGGGAGGCTCCCGTGAATTCTGAGAAGGGAGCAAGAGCCACAGCTCACAGAACGTCTTCAGGCGGTATCCCGTAACAGCCCCTTTGCGGTCGGACTCGGGAGGCGTCGCTTCGCGCCTTCTGCCTTTCAGCGTGGCACCTGGGGATGCCTTGTCCGGGGGCGGCGTGGGAGGTGTTCGACTCGGTCCGTCTTACTCCGTTTGGAGCGTAACTTTATCGTTTAGGCTTGTAATTGCGTGTTGGGCGAGCGCGGCGTGATCTTGACTCAGAGACTCCGATCAGGGATTCCACCCGGACGCCCCCTCTTTGGAGATCATGCCCGTGACGTGTGTCTCGGGAGTGCCGGGCACCAAGGCCCCGGGAAGCCAGCCGGCGGGAGCTCACTGGGCGCCACGGTGTCACCGAGTAAAATGCACAGCATCTTCGCCAACACGCCCGTCCTCGTCTTTTTTTTTTTTTTTTCTCAACTTTTTTATTTTTTTATTTTTTTATTTTTGGGACAGAGAGAGACAGAGCATGAACGGGGGAGGGGCAGAGAGAGAGGGAGACACAGAATCAGAAACAGGCTCCAGGCTCTGAGCCATCAGCCCAGAGCCTGACGCAGGGCTCGAACTCACGGACCGCGAGATCGTGACCTGGCTGAAGTCGGACGCTTAACCGACTGCGCCACCCAGGCGCCCCAACGTCCTCGTCTTTTTATCTTGAACGGACGCTCAGGGCACCTGTGCATGCCCTACAGTCCTTTGCTGCCACATCGGTTGGAAGCTCCCGGGCCGATTTTTGTCCCCATTCAGATGCCATCCCTCCCCCGGGGCTTAGATGCTCATCCTCAGATCTGTGCTGTTCCCTCCCAGGCAAACAGAGGAGTATTTTCTCCCCCGGATGCTGCAGAGCCTGACAAAGCAGGTGAGTCTCTGGGGACAGAACCTGTCGCTCTTGGAGGCCGTGGTGTGCCGTGGGGGCAGGCCCTTGTGGGCCGAGGCCACAGCGGCACCTGGCTGGCGTGCGGGGAGAGGTTCCTGCACGAGGAGGGAGGGTGGCGCCCCGGAAGCCTAGCCTGTCGGTTGCTGCCTCGTTCCCGCCCGGCCCACCGTGCTGGGGCCCCAGGGGAGCTGGGGGAGGGGTCCCCGCCCCACCTTGCCGGGGCTGGTGCTTGGGCCTCCGGGTCACCCGGGAAGCTGTGGGGGGTGGGGGGGGGGTGTGAGGGTTCTAGTTACAAAATCCAAGCAAGACGTTACCTGGCTGCCTGCTCGTTCTGTGAAGGCCCAGCTTCAGAAATCTCTTGTCTTTTGGAGCTGGCTTGGGCCAGGCCTTTAGAGCTTTGATCTCCAGCCTTAGCCGGGGGGGCCTCGTCCAGCCTCTTCCTAGTGGCAGCTGCTGGGGTGACAGCTGAAACCCTGTTCTGGCCACTTCCCACGGGTGGTTGGAAGCCAGGGGCACAGAGCAGGTGTCGGGGGGAGGCCTGACTGGTCTGGTTTCTGTCTGAGGTCCCATTCTGGTGTGAAGTGTGTTAATTTGCTCAGGCTGCATAACGGAGCACCAGAGACGGAGGGCAGGGGGTGCGGGTTGTTGTTAAACAGCAGATACTTGACTCCCGGTCCTGGAGGCCGGAGCCCGAGGTCCAGGCGTGGGCGGGACCGGGGCCTCCCAAGGCCTCTCTCCTTGTGTGTGGCCGGCCGTCCTCTCCCTGTGTCCTCACGGGGTTGTCCCTCCGTGCGTGTCTGTGTCCCGATCCCCTCTTCTTACAAGGACCCCGTGGTCACCTTGATCACCTCTGGAAAGTCCCGGTTCCAGATACAGTCACATTCAGAGGTGCTGGGGGTCAGGACCCCAGCACAGAAATTTGAGTGGGACGCAGTTCTTCCCACGCCGCCAGGTTCTCCGCGCCCCTAATTACTGCCCTTCCGGCAGCTCATGAGGGTCCGGACTCCCTCAGTGGAGGGCCCGGCAGGGGTTCAGCTGGACCTTAGGGACGGACCCGAGCTGGACCGGGGGTCCCTCTCCCCTCCTTCCTCCCGGGTTCCAGCTCCATTTGCCTCTTGACCGTCTCTGCCTCTTCCCTGGAGGACGGCGGCTGCCTGGCCGCTGGGCGGCTGCCCCCATTCAGGAGCCAGATTCCATCACCGCCATTGGGTTTGATTCCTGAGCCAGGCTCCTCGAGGGGCCGGCTTGGGCTCAGCACCCCCTGTGTGGACACTCCGGGACGGGCACAGCCAAGGTTGGGCAGGGGCGCTCAGCCGGGTCCGGTCACCTCCCACGTGTCCCGGAAACTCATTTGACCGTGAACTGTAGCAGCGGGCTAGTTTGAAAATCCTCCTGACCCAGAACGCGGAACGCGCCCATGAGTGCGTTTCCCCGTGTCCGTGTGTGTGTCTGGCGGGGAGCCCGTGTCTGAAGCATGTCGGCACAGCCCTGACTGGGAGCTGCACCCCGTTTCATCCTTGTGGGGTCCCAGTGTGTCCTGGAGGCCTTGCCGCTGGAGATGACTGAGCCCTTGTGGGGTATGGTCTGAAGTTGCAGGGCTTTGGCTTGGCGGTTGACCAAGGGCGGTGGCCTGAATCGGCCCCGGTGACCGTCCGCGGATTTAAGTTCCGGGGCGTGTCCGGGAACAAGGGAAGGGTAGCCCGGGACCTGCCACACGTGAACACGTTGGGCCCTGTGGCCCTGAGCCCTGGCCGCCCCACGGCAAGATGGCGTGTGGGTCCCGGCCGTCCCCGTGGGCTATTTGCCAGGTGCCCAGCGGCCAGCATGGGGTCCCGCGTGAGGGCTTTCTTCGCAGCCACGGGGAGCAGGGCCAGGTTTACGCCGTGGTTCTTGCCTTCGGCAGCCGGGGGTGTCGGACTCAGGCACACGCATCGGGGAACTCGACCCAGCGTGCTCGGCCGTGTTCCCTGTCTCAGGATCAGTTCTTGCCACGTCTGTAGCTTTGGGATCAAGAGAGGGAGCCAAGTTGGGCCAAGACAGCAAGTCAGGGCTGTCCGCGTGCCTGAGAGCGTCCCACACCCGCCTGACCGGTCAGCACACGGAGGCCCCGGCACCTCGTCTGCTGGCCCGGGGGAGGCTCTGCCCGGGCCCTGGGATGCCGCCATTCGTGGCTTGTTAACGTGGCTCTTGGTGACAGACACGCTTGCTTCTGGCCCTGCCACTCAGGAGCAGGGTCACTTTTCTCAGGTTTCTCGCATAACCCTTGGGTCATTCCTGGCACGGGTGGGACGATCCGGTCACACTGTTGGGAGCACGGATGATGCCGAAAAGGGCTTCGGGCCTTGGCAGGCGTGGAGTGACCCTGGACAAACGAGACCCTTTATTGCTTTCTTTTTTTTTTT